TAATAATTTTTTAAGTGCCTGATTGAAGACGATAATCCCAAAAGATTCAAAGAAGGGCAATCATATAAATTTGTCAGACCAACGATCGCATCGATTGCATTAACTGTCGATTCACTCTATTGCATTTGCTGGGGCTGTCGTTTCTGCGTGGTGTGTTATAGGATCCCTGAGTTTTATTTGCATCAGAGATTGAATTAATCTGGGGAAAGGAATTCGTTTCGTATCAGGGTACCGAGGTGCTTCCTTTGAGCGTCCCACTCGCTTTATCAGGGATCATCCATTTTTTCTAGACTAACGGATGAATATTCATCCTTGAATTATGAATTTTCGTATGTAACATTTCACGTAGCCCCCTCTCTGTTGCATGATAATTTCTAAACCCAGGCTCACATGCAGAATTGCCTATAAATTGTTAAATTTATTGGAACTTTTATATCTTTCGGTAATGTTGCATTCTGTATTTAATAATTTTAGTTAAGTTTCATTGAAGTTTTTGTAATTATGGAAGATTAAGGTCAGTTTATCTTTAAAACTTATTTTTGGCATTACTGCTGCTACTTTTCGCACAGTTAATTTTCTTGCGGTTTAGACATCATTAACGAATTTAGATATAGCCATTAGAATATAAGAATATCGCTATTTTAGCTGCATAGGATTAGTTTTTTATTTTCTTATAAATATTGTTTATCGTGGAACTTATACTGAAACTCACAATATTAAAGCTGTGACAATTGTCTGTCACCAGTTCATTATCTATATAATTATGGAAATTAAAGTTCAAGTATGTATTCGTGTTAGGCCTTAGTTTTACAAGAGATACCACAGTGATTACGCAAATATCAAGAAGTATAACAGTGAAAATGCATTCTTTTTCAGCTGTTAGTTTAGTGCCTTTAGAAACAGGCTTAATTGTTTCCAAGATGCCCCTTGTTGCTGAATCGGACATGACCCACATCATTTGCACGTTCAGACAAATCCACCTATCACACCAGGCGAAGGTCTAATGTGAAAGGAGCGAGCTTGGGAATCATGCAGCATATGAAAAATAAAGACACTGTTGATGTTCAGAATTTGCGGGAATTGCCAGCGAATGAACGGGTGTGTCGATGAGGCATTAATTATCTAATCCTGAGACAATGTCAATTGTAACAAAAGTTGTGATTTCTTCGCGGAATGAATGAACTTTTGGCTCTGACAGAGCTATTAAAGCTGCAGCACGGCTTAAATGTTCACTTTAAGGTTCGAGACGATCTTGCCTGTATCATCCTCTCAAAGACGACCAGTTTCACATTAAAGGGCCCCGTGAGATATTAATCAAGTCGTCTTTCACTTGGTGGATTGACTGTTTTTTCGTTGTATTTAACGAAACCATTTTTAAGCACGTTTTCAGTCTGACCAATACTTAGGAATAAACTCATTATTGAGATCTTTAGCATTAAAACTGCTATGATTAACTTAAAGTTCATTTTTCTTCGGTTTGTGATGTTATTCATGAATTTAATGAGGTATTTGCTGTTATTACATGAAGTAACTTATGTTTTATTTCATATAATAATTCTTGCTTATACCCACTCTTTGAGATCATATGTGATTATATGTATGACCAATACTTTCAACAGCGGCCTATTGATTGCTTTGTGGATTGTTCCACCATTCCACGATGTTTCAGTTTGTACAGAAAGGTGGAAGGTGCTTGCTGGAATTGTCTAAAGTTTTCTTGTCACAGTTTGCTATTATTTCACTCTGGTCCTTTGCCTTAACAGTGATTTTCTCAAGCAGTATTCGGCTGTTCATGTACTATTGGCGCGATCTTGCTCTTTTTCTTGATGGTCTTAATGAAGTACAGATGTACAGGTTCGAGACTCGGTTTATTTTTCGAGAAGCTTCACTTGATCGGCAGGGAGTAAGTATTACGCTGTTATCAGAATATCAGAGATGAATATGAATGAACATTCTATTGTGTTAATGAAATCACCGGTAAAGCACATTTTTTATCATAACTATTTTTGTTGTTTCAATGTTTGCGTTTAAATGCTACTTGTTGCTTGCTTTAAGTTTTAATTTGCCAGATTGTATTAGTGAAGTAAGAATAGCGGATAATAATTTTTCTGAAGGCACTAGAGTTGAAAATGCTGAATCCTTATGAAAAAATATACCAGTGTACAAAGTTGTGTTGGCTGTACCAAAGATGTTTTCTGAACTGTTTTATTAAAATTCATTTTTGCAGGGCTTTGCGGTGCCTGAACGAAATTACGAAGCTACTGACGCTGAGTAACAGCAGCGTCGAGTGTTCTCTGATGGTATTGGCAAATTTCTTACTGTATGCGAAAGAGCGCAGCCCTGAACTAGACGTTAACCTTGTCGACCTCTTGCCAAGCATCCCGACTGATGAGGCTGCGGATA